TCTATCTATCTATCTATCTATCTATCTATCTATCTATCTATCTATCTGTTTGTGACTAGTGTCTTTCATCTAGCACACATCTTCAAGGTTCATCTGTATTGGACCATGTGCCAGAGGCTCTTAAGGGATGAATTATGTTCCATTGCGTGTATGGAATACACTCTGCTTGCCTATTTAGCTATTGCTTGGTTTCTTTTTTAAATCTTATAGTTGTTGTGTGTAATGCTGGTAGGATTATGGCAAAAAAACCCTCTCTGTTCAAATTGTGTGTGTATGTGTGTGTGTATGTGTGTTTGTATGTAGTGTACCTATTGAGTATGTGGGCATGTATAGTGTATATGTATATGTGCATGTCTGGATGTGTACACTTGCCCGTGGAGTGTAGAGGCTGATGTGAGGAGTCCTTGTGGTATGCTCTCCATCTTATTGTTTGAGGCAGGATCTCTCATTGATTGGCTAGACCTCCTAGTTAGCTGCATTGGGGAATGATCTATGATGCCTACAATTCTGATTTTTTAATGAGTTTATTGACTGTACAGCAGATGAAAGTAAAGGAATAAATAGTAAGTACCAGATAGGTAGAATAGATGGAATCAGTAGATAGTAAAACATCTTCAGACAGGGCACTCAAAATATCCAGCAGAGATAACTGGAGTAGCCCAACTGAGAGAGTAAAGAAAAGGCAACATCAATTCAGGGGCTTATGAACACCCAGCAGAAATCGAACCGGTGAAGCCTTGTTAAGAGAATCAGTTGGAGTTTCTGATAGTGCCTTCCCATGGGTGAAGCTTCTAACTAAAAGAACAAATAGCAGCAGGAAAAGGGACATTATCAAGTTGGGGCCTTACAGTTATTCAGCAGAAGTGACTGGGGAAGCCTTGCTGTAGCAGTCATGACTAAGGTCCCAGACTGAGAGCTCTGAGCAGAGAATAGCTTTCCATGGATGAGTTCCATGTTCTCTCCATGGGATAAATAATAAAAACCTTCTTGGAAATAGTTCACCTTCTTACTGTTCTCAAAGACACAGTTCTTTTACCCTTGAGCTGTCTTGCAATTGTCTTTCCTCCCTCAGAGTTGGGGGACAGCCTGCCCTTGGAAAAGGGGTCTAGAGCACACGTGAAAATAACCAAGTCTTCCTCACTCCCAGACTTTGAGCAAGTGTGAGCAGCATATGACAGTTTCCTAGTATAATGTATATTACATGGAACTGAGAAGAAGCTGAAAATAAATGAGTGGACTCTGGTGTAAAATTACCCCTGGTGTATGAGGCCTGGTATTTTCCCAATCCCCAGTGAGATTTCTCATTCTCATGCACAGTCCTTACATGATGGAGGAAGGTAGCCAAAAGGAGCTGGTGTCTGAGTGTTCAGGTCTCTTCACCCCCTGTTGGGTGAATCTATCCTTGCAATAGAAGTGATGGGAGGCCCAAGTCAGAAGCACTGAGCTTATTCTGAACTGGTTTTCTTGGGCCAAACTCCTTGGTAGTGAGCAGATATCACAGAAACTGTCTGATTATTCTGTGAAAATTCTGTTGTGAGGCTTTATGAATTTATATTTAATGATGATTGTTCTAGGTGGTTCAAGAAGCTTCTTTTTTTTTTTTTTCAGGATATAGTCTTCTGAGTAAAGAATCCTACTTACACATTCTTTATAGATTTGGGCAGAAGGTTCTTGCTGGGACTTTCCATTTGAATGTTTCATTGAATGACTCTCTCCTGCCCTTAGGGTCTATATAATTAGATTCAGTCCAGAAAAATGGACAGACTTCTTGTCTAAAAGTCTGTGCCCTAGTTGGAACATCATCCCAAAGACTCACCGTCCACTCTATCAAGCAGACATGAATTCCTGTTTAAGCTTGGGAAAATCTTTGTCAGTGACTAAAGGGTAGGAGTCTGTTTCAAGGCCAGGCGAGAGCTTTTCCAGCCTGAGCATATCATCACCTGGGAGAGATAGGCCTTTTGGCTCCATACATACCAGTCACAATGTACTTCTCTGTTGTCATTTGAAATTATATTTTCAGGTAATAATCCCCACTGTATGGTCCTTGTTTGGTTGATTGGTTTGTAAGGAAATAAGCTACAGAATGAAAGATTGTCTACCCTACCAATCAGTTAACCCCAGTGCCACTACCTCATGTAGCCCTGGCTCACACTTTAATTACCTTCTTCCCTGTCTGCAAGAATTAATTCAGTGTTTGTGAGGCACTCTGGGAAATTCTTTGGGTGAGAGGGCCTTTAGGGAATTAATTTTAGTGTCTGTGACTTTCTGGTCTGCATGGCCATGCTAGTGGATACTATTTCTTCCTCTGTGAGGGAACCTCTTTGGGGAATGCTCTTGGTGCCTACCAAGCGACCCTAACCTGACCATGTTGTATAGCAGGGTGAGAAGAGGCACCTCAATGGCTAACCCATGGCATCCTCCATTGTCTCTATGGGCCTGTGTTGACATCCACTGTCTTTGCATTGGGGCACACTTGTCCACATGGTTTCCTTTTCTAAGGTCATTTGGGAAGGAGCTCTGCTGGACACAAAGTGACAGTAATGCCTGTGCTCATGCTTCTTGTTACTGTGCTGGGATTAGAGGGGCCTTTCTGAAATCAGAACCTCTCACCCTAACCTGTCTTTTTCTCCCTCTCTCTTCACAGTGGGGCCTTTTCTGAAGTGGTTTTAGCTGAAGAGAAAGCAACTGGGAAACTCTTTGCAGTGAAGTGCATCCCGAAGAAGGCACTGAAGGGCAAAGAGAGCAGCATTGAGAACGAGATCGCTGTTCTTAGAAAGTAAGTGCTTCCAGAAGGCTGCCCAAAGGCTGGCTTCCTGGGGTCAGGGACGCCATCAGCTACCAGCCACAGAAAGGGGTGGGCCCTGCAGATGAAGACTGGCACTCATGCGGGGCTGTGAAAGTGCTTTCCTGCAGCTCTGGCGTCCTAGAACATTGTAGCAGATGGAATCCTTTCCAAAAAGCACAGTTTCGGGGTGACTTAACTTCAAACTGAGACCCCCATCATTCACCACAGCTGAGTGACACTGGCTGGTTCCTGAGGCCCCAGTCTCCCTTATGAAGTAGCACTCAGACCATTTCTGTAGCACAGTGTGCTGAGTTAGTGAGAAGGTGTTTTCTGAGTGTCTGTGATCACTTTAAAGTGCCATCACTGTCGTAGAGTCTAGAGTATCATTATTATTGCCATTGTTATTGCTTTATTTCTATAAGGATATGAAGCTGGAAACCTCCATCTGTATAGTTCATATGTGCAGAGCTTGGAATAGCAATTCCTCTAGTGCTGTTTGTACACTTGTGACCCCACCCACTCTCCTTTCTCTGCCACCCGCATGGCACTGGACACCCAGGAGTTTCCAGAGAGTTTCGTTCACTACCTTCATTGAATATTTTCCCCTTCCCACGTGTAATAGAACTGAATCAAAATCTCACCCCCTTCAGTACAGTGCCACACACAGCCATTCTGATGTGATCTGAACCTCCCCCACTCCCTGACACACACACAGAGTCTTCTAAGGTTGTTCTCTGTAATGTGCTCAACTGTAGTGTAGAATTAAATCTTTCCACTATATCTCAGGACGTGTGAGGGAGCAAACCTTATATGGTACCTGCTTTTGCACGTTTGGCACCTATCAGGAAAAATTTTGAGTTGCTATTAATAAAAGATGTTACAAATATCCTTGAAATTTTTGAGAGTTTGGAATCAGTACATAGCAAGAAACTCAGCACAGATAAACAAAGCAGAATGAGAACAAGCCTTTTAGAGCCCAGAAAGTAACCACCGCCTGCGGTACATCTTTCCTGTGTAATAATCTGTCTTTCATCCCATTCCTTGTGGGACCTTCAGTGCCCCACTGAGCAATGCTTTGCCACCACCCATCCAGCCCAGTGCCACGGAGGTGGTTGAAACGGTCTGTCCTGTCCTGACCTTTGGGCAATTTGGAGAAGAACACAGACTTGGTATCAGTGTTCCAGAACAAATGGGCCTCCATGGTTTTTTAGGGCAGGGATTTTCTTTCACTCATTTGTTGGGTTGTTTTTTGTGCTGGCTGGGTTGTTTATTGGAATCTGGTGAGCTTTAGACTGTCCTGAGAAAGATTTCAGGGAATGGGCTTATTGAAGAGAGTCTGGGCACACATATTAGGAATATTTGCACCAGGCGGGAAAACACTATTGTTAACGGAGCCTTTATTGAAATGGCCTCTTTCCAATATGGAATCAGAGTTTGAGGAAGGAGTCATCACTGCTGATTAACTTGTAGACGTGTTACAGATGGTTGACATTTGAGATGTAATTCTCCTTCTAAAGGGTCCACGTTGGGCCCCTCTGTTGTCTGGGCCTAGAAATGAAAGAGCCCAGGAGATCCATATGTAGCATTGGAGTTATTTTCCATCTACTCGGACAGTGGGCACAGGCACAGGCTTTATAAGCTTACCTTGGTTCATGACATGAATATTCTGGTTTAATCAGTATCCCCACCCAGTGCCTCACTGCTAATCACATCCTCAGACAGGGTATTTAAAACCAGGGTGGACCATGAATTTGGAATACCTTGTTTTGATAGCTTCTTGCTATCAGTCGTTGGCATGCCAAGAGGCATGGACTCTTCTCTAGGGAGTAAAGAACAAAGAAATGATTTCTCAGGAGATAAGAGGTAGTTTCTCTCCTATGCTGGTTTATTTTGTTAATCTTTTGGAAATGATTTACAAGTAGGCCTAAAGGTTCTCCACATCATGAACAGCTGAAAGAAAAGTAAATGGGCTGTAAAGAAAATGGTTTGCAGCCATGCTTAGAGGGCTGCTGTGGTGATGTTCATAAACTGAAGAAATATTTATCAAGTTCCCAGCATACACCACATAACAGAGTTTCTATTGCTATCATGAAACACCATGACCCAAAGCAAGCTGAGGAGGAAAGAGTTTATTTGGCTTACCTGTCCATATTGTAGTCCTTCCTGGAAGGAAGCCAGGACAGAAACTCAAAAGGGCAGAAAGTTAGAGGCAGGAGCTGATGCAGAGGCCAGGGAAGGGTGCTTCTTACTGGCTTATTCCTTATGGCTTGCTCAGTTCACTTTCTTATAGAACCCAAGACCACTGGCCTAGGTTTGACACCACCCACAATGGTCTGGGCCCACCTCCATCAATCACTAATTAAGAAAATGCCCTACAGCCAGATTTTATAGAGGATTTTCTCAATTGAAGCTTCCTCCTTTCAAATAGCTCTATCTTGTGTCAAGTTGACGTAAGACTAGCCAGCACACACTGGGAATCAGCACCTCGAGACATTAGACATGGAGTAATTCTTGACATCTGAGATAGAGATTTTGCTACTAATGAACAGGATAAAGTTGTAGATGATTTGATAACAGCATGGGACCCAGGGAGGGGGTTGAGGACAGGTTGCACATAGGAGGGGCAGCCACCTAAGTCTTTCAGGACAGAAAGACAAGTAGACATTCCAGTTAGAGGAAGCAACCCAAACAGTGGTAGATTGCTCCACAAAGCCATAGTTTGATTCCCAGCACTATTTAAAAATAAAATAAAATAAAAAGGAGGAGAAAGAAGAGTTGAGAGGTGAGAGAGAAGGAAGGGTATGGGAAGAAGTTAGCAGATAGGAACCAGGCTGTTATTATGGAGAACCAGTGTCTTTGATGGGGGCAGAAGGTTTGAGGTAAGGCAAAGGAGACCCAAGCTTGGAGAAAGGTAGGATGGTGGAGCTTGTTCTAAACTGCTCTGAATGGGGCTCCATGCAGCAGATATGAGGAGTGATAGGGGTATCCTGAGAGAAGCAATATGATGATGATTTATCATGATGTGTACTGTGGCAGGACTGGTTGGAGAGAGCAGGAGCGTAGAAAGCATACACATAATAGTTCATGAGGTAAACTATGTAGAGAAAGGAAGAAGGAACATGTTAAGGCAGGGGCTGTGGGCTGTATGAAAGAGAGATAGGAGGGCATTGATACAGAGCTGACTCTAAGTGTCAAGAATTGGAAGAGGCAGAGAGGAGTTGAGGGACAGATTGGAGAGGATGCTAACACCACGGTTTCTGATAGGGCAAGAGGGTGACTAACTATGGATTGTCATCTCTTTAACAATCCATAAGTAGGAAGGTAAAGGCTGAGCTCTGACTTGGGCATGGTGGATCTGGACGTCTTGGGGATGTCTGCATAGAGACAACTGGTTGACTTTCCAGGGCTAGAACTCACCATGATCTAGGCTTTGGTAGACAGTACACATTTCTGAGACACATACTAAAATAAGCCTAGGGGAGGGGCATGGAGAGATGGCTCAGCACTGGCTGTTTTTTTGTTTGTTTGTTTGTTTTGTTTTGTTTTGAGAGGCCATACTTCATTCCCAGCACTTGTATGGTGGCTCACAATCCTCTGTAACTCAAGTTCCAGGGAGATCCAACACCCTCTTCTGGTCTCTGGGGGCAGTAGGCAGGCAAATGACACATATGCATACATGTGGACAGAACATAAAATAAAGCAATAACAACATTTAAATATTGGATAACCAATTAATGTGTTCTTCCCCGAAGAAGACTATTTCCCTCAGCTCTCAGCATTCCTAAGTTGTAGTCGTTCTTTGTGTAGGGAACTCATTCGCAGGTCTACTGCTGCTGTCCTTGCTTCAGCTCACGCTTAGGCAGTTATATTGGTGAGATTTTATGGGTGAGGCTTCCGACATTTCTAGGAGACGCACTCTTACAGCAAACCCACCCCTTGTTCCTCTGGTTCTTACAACCTTTCCAACCCCTCCCTCTTCTGCAATGTTCCCTGAGCCTTAGGTGCCAGAGTTTTATTGTGGTCGTACTCATTGGGACTGGGTTCCACAATTCTGCAGCTTGATTGTGATGGTTTTCTCAAATGGTCTCTGTCTGTTACAAAGAGCAGTTTCCTTGATGAGAGGTGAGGACTGCACTTATCTTTAAGTATAAGAAAAAAAATATTTAGCCTCGTTTGGAATTAGGCTGCTTTAGTAAAGTGGTGGCTGTAGGTTCTTCTTTCAGATCCAGGAGTTCACTAGCTCTGGGTTGTTGGCTCGGCTTCTGGTACCAGACAATATCTTCCTTTTTGTTTGTGTGGTCCCTAAGTCCATTTAGAGAGATGTTGGTTGCCACCCGTAGGTTTACTGTGTCATGCTGGCATCATTGTAGTTCATAGGCATCGAAGGTGTCATCATACGTGTCACGCTTGAGTAGAATTGTTGGTTGCTTCCCTGAAAACACACACACAAGTAATATTATGTAGACCGAACAGGTTGTACTTAGGAGGGGGAGAGAGAAACATCAATTAATGAAAAAAAAAAAAAAGAGGCCATTAATTTGAAAAATAGGAAGAAGGGGTATAACGGAGGGCTTGGAGGGAGAAAAAGGAAGAGAAATGATGTAATTACACTATAATCCCCCAAATAATGGAAATTTTAAGAAGAAATAAAGGCAAATTTCTTTCATAAAAATAAATAAAATAAATGCTGGCACAATTTAACTAGTCATTATAGGTAGGATCCAAGAAAGGCAATTCATATTCCCTGGCTGTTTGTGTGTTTCCATGCTGTGTTTCATCCAAATGTGCCCATTTAAGAGGCTGCTTGTCCTCCTACATGCTAGGTTTATTGTAGGGTGAGAGATTTATTTATTTCATTGGATAAAAGTAATGCAGCTAATATATCCTAGTGGATGTCTTTGCACTTGCTCTGAAAATAGTTCCAAAATGAATTTTCGACTTGATAAGTAGATATTAAACCAACTTTAGAGGAGGGAGGAAAGCAGAAGGCT